AATGAAAAATAAAATAGGGAAGACAATATACTTGAATAATCTAACAAAGAATGAAATGAAAAATAAAATAGGGAAGACAATATACAAAGATTTATAGTGGTTTGGTCAAAGACCTACATCCACTATCTTGATTGTTCAATTAAGGATTTTTCAAATCAAATCACTATGAACGGTGAAATTCTCAAGCTTTCACCAAGCTTTCACAATGGCTTTTCATAGGCTCAACCACAACCTTCAACAATGGTTTTTCCCGGGATCAATCAAAACCAAAAACTAACTTTTCTAGGCTTAGTTAGAACCTATGCACTCAATCAAGCTAACCCAAGCTTGATTAATCCCCTTAGAGTGTCTCGCATACTCTAAGCAATCAAGGAGAAAAGAAATAAAGAGGTACCAATGATCACTAACCCGATCTGATGGTACAAGATGAAATTTTTAACTCTGTTACAAAGATTTGAGTGAAGTGTAGAAAATATGCGGAGTGTTCTTGAGGTTTTTGAGCTGTTTTTGATCTTGGAAGCCTTTAAATTTATTTTTTTAGTTGTTGGGAGGTATTTTTATACTTGAAAAGTCAACTCTGCTAGCAGCTAGACAGATTCTGACCATTGGACACAGTTTAGGAGCAATTCTGCCCATTACTTTGTCTTTTAGCATCAGTTCAAACTGCCAGACAGAATGCTCTTAGTCGACTAATCGATATTACTTAGTAGACTAAGTCGTTTCTGTCTCTGAATTCAGTTTCTGGAAATAAGCTCCGTCTTTGAGCATTTTTGACAGTACCCTCTTAGTTGACTAACAATCTTTCTTGGTCGATTGAGTAGTTTCTATCTCTGAACCCAGTTTCTGACAGTAAACTCTTACTCGAGTAACTCTTGTCTCTTGGTCGACTAAGTGCTCTCTATTTCATGATTTGCTTGAACCTGCCAGCTGCTCTTTGAGTTTTGTCCAACCATCTCCCTTGATTATTCAACTTAGAGGCTTCTCACTTTATTGCTTACTTCTAGCTCCTTATTCTTGTTAGTT